TTCGTACGTTTTCATACAAGAGGCAGAGAATCTTATGACAGGTCTCTAGACATACATCCGGTAAGAATTATGAAATGTATTTATTTGGTGTGTATTAATGAGCTAGTAGAGGGATCCTCAGGGGCACAGACCACATATTCTGATGCCAGCAAAATAAAACATGCATTTTACATTAAATTCAAGTATGGGACAAAAACTTCTGCTTTCCCTAAAGCCTCTGTGGACTACCCTCTTCCTAATTAAGTTAAATTTACATCTTCCATAAGGTATGAAAGACCCAAGTAGCCTCTTCCACCCGAGGGGTCTACTGTAAGAACCTACGAATCTTACAATGGAGCGTTACAAAGACATCATGATGCTTTCATGGTGTTCCCTGATCTTCCACGGATTTGTTAAGATCTGTACTGCACACTAAATATGTGCTGGATGTGGCGTCTGTTCCCCCGAGGGGGAAGAAAAGCGAGAAAGACTACTTCTTAACAGAAGAACGTGGAGAAAACCACGGAGACTGACAGGTTTCTCCCTCCCTGGTCTCTTCATATGGACTGCACCTTCTTTTGCAGTACATCCACTGACTCCAACACAGTCTCCCAGTCTGTTACCTTTCATAAAGGCAGGCATAGTTTAGTTTCTCTTGCAAATCATCAGTAGCAATGCTTATGAGAATCAGCATTAACAGAGAACGCCCTTATGAATCAAATGATATATGGATTAATATTAACTCTTCATACTGCTTTCCAGTGAGACTCATATAAGCTATTTAACTTGAATGCAAAACTTTCCCTGAAAGCCCTATTGCTTCTTTACTAGTCCTTCAGTCAAGCAGCTTCAAGGTAACAGCCACTGTCAGCATTTAGCTACAACTACTGCAGAGATGTTCCTTACTCTATTCAGAATACAGCAAACAGAAACCTGAATTCCGTACGTCACAGATTTTGGGTGTCATCCCTTGCAACGCAGCATAATACACCCATCCTCGGTGCCAACACTGAAACCGGTACAGGCTAAATTCTGGGGAAGATGCTGATATGCACTAACCACCTTGCAGACAAACACATTACAGGCTTCAGAAGCAGTTGAATACTACCAGCCCTCTCCTCCTTTCTCTTACCATCTTGACTCCTGTGATTCAGATGAAAGTCCAGCCTGATCTTAACCAAAAAATGAAAAACGTGCACTGCCATCATAGAAGATGCAGCTTCTCCTCACTCTTCCTCTGCAAATCCCTGGATTTGCTAGCTAGACTATCCTAGCTTCCTTGTAATGTGTATCTTGCTAACTCTACCACAACAGAGAAGAATCCAAAGAAGCTGTTTCTCAGCATCCCTCTGGTATCCAAATTTTAAATGAAACTGACAGTCATGTTTGTGATGGAGGCAAAAATACTCAAAGCTGGACAGTCAGAATAAGACTTATGGTGCTTTTGCATAAAGTGCCGTGGGATATCGTTACACTGAGAAGACCCTTTCCAAAAATAAATGTAAAAATACAGGCCCTAAGTTACTAAATTGGCATCTCCTTTCCTTCCCTATCTGTTTTCCTTCAACAAACAGAAGCCACTTCACTCTTCGGATCTTGCAACACAACCAATATCAATTTCTTTTTTTACTCCATTCTGCTTACAATTCATGTAGTGCAGTATTCCCATATTGCACCAATATAGGGTAAGATCTTAGAGCCTAACAGCATGCCAAGAACAGTGAAAACACACTACCTGGGAGAGCAAGCGCAAATAATTACTTCATTTTTATTGTTAGAAATAAAACACATTTGTACAGATGGCCCCACAACAAAGCCAACCAGAAACAACTGCTTCAGCAAGATCATTCATGACATCTAGCACGGAGATAGGCCATGACCATAGATGTGCATAAGGTCATAATTACTGGGTTTCCAAGACAGATGCTATTTAATGCACACAATTGTATATTCTTAGTGTTTATGTTGTCAATGATTAATGACCAAATTGCTTCCTCTTGCACACTGTTCACATGGCATTCTGCATGACTGCTTAAGTTGCATAGGGAAGAATAAAGTTGTTAGAAGAGAAACCTGCTGCCAGTCACTGCTACGATCTGCTGAAGCTTCACCCCGAGTCCACTTCACTGCCCTCTCTTTGCCCATCCTTCAGGCAGCTTGTGACAGTCCTGTGACAGTCCATGCGTGCAGCAATAGAAATTGCTTTCAAGTAACAATTTGCCTTACTGTGTTTATTCTGCAAACTCCCTCCATTTAAGAATTTTTCCAAATTCTTAACTGGCTTTATTATTTTCTTCAAGGATTTTCTCTAGTAAGAAGCCAAAGAATATAGTAACGATGGGAGGGAACAAGAAGTTGGGGATGCTAAAATTAAACACTTTCCCTACATGCTTTATATAGAAAACTAAAAGGCTGTGAAATAAGCCTTGTCCTCTGTACAAGGGGTAGGTGTGCATTTTATTTACATGATGAATGACAAAGTCAGCTGAACATAAGGAACATCCCAGTGCTCCCTGCAATTTCACTTATGCACAGAAGCAGCCCTCAGTTGGTACCACGAGTACCAGGGTTCTCTTTTCTGCATTTGTCCTTACTGTACTCGGCAAAGAGAGGGCGTTTCAAGTGTACATTTTGTAATAATACAGCATTTTTTGGATGTTCAAACACTTCCGAACAGCTGTTTGAGATGACCAGGCAGGTTCTGCTTCTTGCTTGTCTTTCATTTTAATGGAATATGGCGGCCGGTGCGGGGGAGGGGGGGGGGGGGGGGGGCTGGGAAAGCACCTCACCAGAAATCTGTGCACTCTGGGAAGAATTTGAGCAAGTGTCGAACATACTATATTGGTCTGGATTTATACTTGTCTACTTGTACAAGTTCTTATTTATATTAAATAGGAAACAAGTAAAGCTAAAGGCCACTGTATAAAACAAGAAACAGATGGATTTTGTTAAAAGGGGCCCAACTCAAAGGACTATTGATTGGACTTAGACCAGGCATCAAATGGTGGTACTTCCTTCTATTACATCAATGATGACTAGATGAACTTCAGTTTCTGAAATTCACAGAAATGATGATAACACTTGCATTTCAGACCTCTGTGTTTTCTAAGTGTATGCCATTTAAGTGGAGTTTTCTAAAAGGTTTTCAATTTGGACAATGGTACCTTGTGTTTTCAATACTTTCCTTGTAGGGCCTGCATCATCAAATTGGCTAAACATGCAGAGCCAGGTTATGCCTTGCCCTTAAGCAGATGTGTAGCGGGAAAGAGATCTCTCGGCCTGAACTGTACTACTGAATCCAAACATCCTCTAGCTATGTCTTAGCAGGCAGTACTGAAGTGTTACCAACTCGGTCCCATCCCCACTGTCCTGTGAACATTTTTTGATGGACTCATCTCTGAAATCAACATTGCCAGATTTAAAAATAATGAACTACAAGGATTGTGGATTAGATTTTTGTCTGATCAAAAAAAAAAGAGAAGGTACATACACTACACTGTATAAGAACAAATAGAAAAGCAGGACCTTTTTAATCTCATTTTTTTGAAAATGTGGGTTATTATTTTATAGAAAAAATAATTTGAATACAAAAATAGCTCTTGGACAAAATAATTTACATTTTATAGTACCAGAAACTGTAATTGATTAGGAATGGAAACAGGCATCATAAGGTCAATTCGGCACCTTAAGTTTAAAGTGCTTTATGGTTTTACTGAAAGAAAAAAAAAAAAAGAAAAAAGAGATTAAGTGCTGAAAGTACTATCACAATTCCG